TGCAGTCTCACACATTAAGTTACAAATGACTCGAGGTTAATAATTCAGACGTATGGACGAATCATCTTTACAACATCTATGATTTGTCAATGTCTCGTCTGTAAAAAATTATCAACTTTTTTCACAAATCATTTTCTTTGATACAGGTGTATTCGATGTTGACTATCGCCTCTTTGTCAGCACCAGGGATGGCAGCATCTTCTCAATAAAAAGAGATCAAACGAAAAAGGAGAAACCTATAATATCATGCAAGACCGATATTGTCAGCTTTGCAAGAGTTAACAAAATGGTGAGCTTATTGTTCACCTAGTGCACAAAATCAAGTGACGTCTTGTAAATTACAGTTGGCGGTGGCAACCTCGGACAACACGCTTCATTTCTATTCATTTTCTGGTAAATGCATGAACACAGTCAACATTGGAGAGCCGATCAAAGGACTTGAGCTTTTCCATTATGCCCCAAAGCAGTTTGAGGGCGTGCTCGTGCTTTTGGAGAATCAGGTAACTCGTAGTTTTTATGTTGAACAGAATAAAATACCTTCTCGTTATAGGTGCGCTTGTATACACACCTCCACCTTCTAGATATTGTGAAGATTGACAAACCTCTCTCTTGGATGAAATTTGGCCAGTTTGGGAGAGAAGAAGGTGCTTTGGTTCTCGGAACAAGAGGTGGACGACTTGAACAATTCAACATTTTACAAGAGCCTAAAAAAGTAGCATTTTCTAATATTTGAATTTTGCTGAATTTCCATGTTGCTTTAATTTACTCATGTGGATTTAGCGAAAGCTATAAGGCTTTTTTTTTGGATTTTGCCATTTCAACAAAAAATTACTTTATTTGACTTCAAACTTTGATATGGAAAAATTCCTATCAAATATTTATGCACTTAAAGAATGCAGATCTTTTTGCACTATATTATATGTGGTTCCTTTGCATATACACTGTACGCTGTGGCCACCCCTTACTATTTTTGTGAAGCTAAACTGACAACTAATGGCGCATCTTCCTGAGCTACTCGGAGCCAAAACTTCACAAGCTTTACAAACTCTTTTCCTTCTAAAAAGTTTAGACGATTCATATCAGCAAAGACTGCGGACATATTCGCGTCTCTCTGACCGAGCGG